TCCCTTCCCTTCCCTTCCCTTCCCTCCTTCTGTAGCTGGATGACTCAGTTCCCTGGCAAGAGAATCCCTTACTACCATAACAGGGACTGAGGACTCTGGGAGTCAGTGGAATTGGGACTGCAGACACAGTGAGCCTCTGAAACTTTTCCAGGCTGTGTCCTGAGCAGGTCAAGCTGAGGGACTGTCCCCTCTATTGCACTGCTTTCACTCTATGGAATCTCTCTCTAACAAAAGCTGAAGGCTCCTCAGCTCAAACCCTCAAACCCTGTTTACCCTCCGTCCTGAGCACTGGAGTGAGGCGTAATTTGACTGCCACAGAAGAGGTCAGCTCAGATGTATTATTTGCTGCAAGAGCTTTCTTTAAAACACAGCTCTTGCTAAAGAGGCCTTTGTTTTCCATCTGTCATACAATTTGTGCTTCAATTTTACCTGAATCCAGGTTCTTTATCAAGACCCTGTCTAAACTTTAGAGATCTATGTCTCTTGGTTAGCTTTGTATCATTCCGCAGAACATTTCAATCTCCTTTCCTAAAGCAAAAGAGGTTGATGTTTCTCTGACTATAAAAAACAGCCAGGCCTGGTTTAGTCTCTGAAAGGCAATTAACATCCGGAAAGGCCAGCTGATCTCACAGGTCTCTGTTAACATTTATGAGGATATGGAAAGGAGGGAGAAAGCTGGTTCTGGTGTGGCACCTGCTATATTGGAAACCTAAATACAGAACAACTGAAAAACTTTTGTCACATGTAGAGAGAAATGTCTGTGCTGCAAAGGGTCACTGTGTCATTCAGTACTAGCCTCACACCTCTCCGTGGAAGCTGGCTGGTGTGGACTGTCTTCATGGGAAAAGATATGCTGTCCAAGCTCAGCAGCACGTATCTTCTTATCACATATCTTCTGGGTGATCTGTTGCAAAGGACTGACAATTTGCAGTTTATTCTATGTGGCAAATGTCACCTCCCTTGCCCTTCTCCTTTGATTCCCTGCTTGTTTCTTTGAATCGCCTCATGCTAACCTCAAATTTCTTGTTGTTTTCAAGAACCTTGGTAGCAGTAAGACTGCTTGTCTGCTCCTGTCATTTTTTTTTCTGCACCTTTCTCTATGTCAGTGATACCAGCCTTCAACCATCCACTTATTCACACCTCCTACAAACAAACATCTCCTCTCCTGCTTCTCTGCTGCCCCTAATCTATACACTGACTTCCTGAACTCAGCCTCCTGCCATGATGCACACAGGAAAAAAGCCAAGTAAAAATGTTTAGATGGAGAAGTGACCAGTTATATCTGACAGGTGTTTGTTTATGAAAATAAAGCCCAAAATAAACCCATCAGAAAAAAAAAAAGACAGTACAACATTGTTTAATGGTGACATTATCAAGCTGGTCATTACTGTACCATATAAAGATACAAATATATGTTTGCGCAAGTGCTGATATGTACCTTCCTTGCAGAACGGAGTCCTTTGTCCTGAAAAGAGTATCTCTTACCTCAATATTAAAACACAGATGTAATAGTTAATTGCTGTTACCCAACAGTTAGAGAATGTTCTCTACATAACTGGTTCTTACTGGTATTTACTAGCTGTTTTTCTAATAAAGAATTGCTGTTCAGCTGGTCAGTACAGGATCTGCAGGAGTATACAGCTCTGTCTCCTTTTAGCTTGAAATCTGAATGATAGGAATAGAAGAGACTACTGTGGAGACAACAGGTTTCCTAAACAAATATGAAGGCAGAGCTTTGAAAGTCTAATTTCTTTGGCAGGAACTAAAGCCTTTTATGACAATTATTTTCTTTTCCAATCAGTTGTTTAGCTTAGCTGGTGCGTACTGGCATAGCTTTGTTGATTTTGGCAGAGCTACTCTGATGTATTACAGCTTAGGATCTGGCACAGAATTTCCAAAGCACTTAGTAGGTCATTTACACAGTACGGTATGCCTGGGACAAAAGAAATTTATAGGGGAAAAGCAAAGTGCACTATATGCAGGAGGGACTGGGACCCTCTAGATGTTGTGTCTTAATATTTCTGGTCAAGGGGTATTTTTAGCAGCTAAATTTCTGTTGTGTCTTATGATGTTGAGTTACATTGCACGATCACAACTACGTACCGTGTCCAGAGACTAATACCTCTCATGAAATGGAAAAATTGTGCCTATTTTTGAAGCAACGAGAGGGGAGGTGTTGAATTACTGCAGCTCCTGAAGATGAATAGTACAAATATTTCTTTGCCTTTTATTAACGGGGATACAGGGATCTTGAGAAAGAAAATTGGCACGTCCATGGGAAAATGTAATAGTTGCAGAAAAAAAGTGGGGCAAAGAAAGAAGACCCAAATGTTTAAAAAAGCAAAGTAGATTCAGGAAGATGTAATTTGGTGTTGAGCATGGGAGGGAAAATAGGTAAATGAGATAAAATATAACATATTTGGCTAAATACGGACTCAGGCACATACATAACTGTGCGCTATTTTTAACAGGAAAACCTACAGGAGCAATCATTCAAACCTTGATTTTCTGACATGCAATGCCAACAGAAATATGTCAAGAATGTGATTACATAAGGACCAACAGACAACTAAGTGATATGGCATTTGCTTTCCTGTCATCATCTTCTTCAGTTTATTAATGAAGAGTTAAAAAAAAAAAAGCTGCTCCACTTACATCCGTAATAGAAATTTAAGCTTATAAAAGAATAACTAGAACTAGTGTTTGGATGAGAAGTTTGAGAGCTGCTGGAAAACATGTTCTGAGAGGGCCCCTAACAACTTGTAAGCTGTGCTAATGACTTGACATAGACTGAACTTGATAACATTTAGCAGACTAATTTGTGGAAGCAAATTCTTTAGTATTCACAGAACAGATTATTAGAAGTTTGATTTCTATTATTGTTGCATATGGTATCGAATTTGTTGTTTACTGCAAAAGCAAGAAAGCTCTGTTTTGAATATTAGATCCTGTTAAAAATAAACAAAAGTATTTCACCTAGCCTAAATGAAGATGAAATATTGAAGTAACGAACAGAAAGTTTGTTTTATTTTCTCCCTGTCTCTTTAGTTAATAATAAATTATTTACCAAAATGTAGATATTTGAATTACTTGTTTAATCAAATATGTCAATAAAAATTTTGCATGTATTTTCCATAAAGAATGCAACACATTAAACATCGCATGCATAAAATCAAAGCTAGGAAACAAAGAAAAAAGATCTGAAATACTTTTTTCAAAAGGTGATTCTGACTTTCAGACTAGATATCAACCACCTGCTTCAGACAAAGAAAGTTAAAATACCAGAGATGTTCTGGAAATTTTGATAGGTAGTTCCACTAATCACTTGATACACTATTGCCATCATATCTGAAGTACTCAGATGCTCCAGCGATGAACACTGTGACAGGTGCTTATAAAACGCTATCTAGAAAATCATCAGCTGCTATAAATAAGTGTCCACCAAGGACCTGATTATTTTCTAGTGTTACCTCTTTTTGTGTTAGAATAAACATTCATGGTAGTAATGTTATTTTTGCCAATAAAGAGCTAGTCATGATGCTGTCTAGACAAAGTTATGCCTAAGGGCTTTTACCTCAGAAGTCAAGGTGTGTTCAAATTGCCGTTTTGCCTTCTTTTTTTGCTTAGGTGGTTGGTTTAACTTTGGATCTCACCTATGGTTTTCTTTACTGGCTTGTGCAAGATAGCCTATGGCTAAACCTATACAGAGTTTCTCTTTGCCAAGAAGGGTAAGTAAATATGTAGCAGAGGTAGGAAATTCTGAATTTTTCTAGTTTTTGTGTTACTCTTTGAAAACAATTTTTGTCCAATGCTGGGCAGACTAGTTACTAATTTAACAATAAACAAAAGGAAGAGCTAATGATCACAGCTAGCTGATGGCAAACTATATGTTGAGATGGATTTACGAGAGAAACATAGTACAGAAGCTTAACTGAACTAAGGTCATGCCCATCAATTTTAGACTTAGCTTTGGGAAATATTCACCATTTATTGTCTATTTTATCTTGACGTTTACAACACCTGACAGTTTTCAAGTGCCTAGAGCTGTAACTTGTTCATCTTGCACAGAGCTTAGGACTTGAACTGACACCACTTTCTCACCTGAGCAATCAGTGCTCAGCAGGCTTTCCTCTTGATCATCCTGAGCATGAAATGGCTGCATTATTCCTGAAAGGCAAAGTTAAAAAAACCCACAACACAACCGTATTTATGGGTCAGCTGGAATATATACTAAGACCTCGAGAAAAATGGTAATTTTTTTTTGTATGTGCCAAGTGCACGATCAGTGGTGGCTCATGAAACTATGGTTTTGTTCCTTTTCATATGTAGAGTGCCTTCCCCCCCTCCCCCCCCAGCATTAGATTAAACTTCTTAAGCTTAATGGAACAGTACTTGTGTTTATGTGTGTTTCAGGCTGGCTTTGTGTGGAATCAGCTGAATTTCCTGACTGATTTTAGGCTTGCTATGATTATTGGTAAACATTTAAAGAATCAAAATATGTTGATTAGTTTTAGCTAGAACATACAGCTCCATCGTGAATGAATTGGCAGCCGTAAATCATTGTCCCTGGTGTGCCAGAATAGAGAGATTAGAAGTAATCCATTCTAATGGACCTGATGGCATGTCAAAGCTTTTCCAAATTTGTTTTGGATAACATGTGTCTAAGCTGAAAGACATTTCTGAGATGGCAAAATGATGCCTCTTATGACGTATTTAATCTCTTGCCCAGAAGACAGATTTGTACCAAAAAAGGCCTCTAAGTTTTGACATAGAAGTAACAAGAGAGATTAAATCACCAGTGATCCCGGTGGAGGAAAACGTTAGTAGAGTTTAATAAATAATGGAAGGTTATCAAGGAAACTAGCAGGGTCAAATTAATCTGGGGACCTGCTCTAAAGAAGTAGAATGAATCTCGTGCTGTGAGGCAGACTCCACTGTTTCAGAGAAATTGCTGAGAGAAGGTGGGCTGATTTTTCAAAATATTCAATTTTCTTCATCCATGCATCAGAGTATTAAGCCATTTTATAATTGTTTTTTAATGAAATCAAGGGAATGAAGTTTGGTTTTTTTTTTGCAGGTGTTCCTGCTACGTATATTTCTGAAAAGTGTTCTGCTTTAGAGAATGTAAAGAAAACTTTTTGAATTGTTTTCCTGTCTCCTACATAAATATTAAGAATTTAAATGATGAGAAACTTATCAATGTGTCAAACATTGCACAGGTCTTGCTCTCTCTACATGTGCGTTTTCAGTTACATGTGTTTTCAGTTTGCTAATTTCATGCATGTTTTCACAGTTGTGGTAATGCCATCATCACAGAATTTGCAGCATGGAGTACTTCAGAAATATCTCAGGGTGCACTGGGATACTACAGTGGTCGTCTGTTCTGGACTAATAGTCTTCAGTTCATTACAACTCAGGAAGTCAATCAGAGCCTTAGCATTCCCTTCTCACAACCAGCAGAGTTTGCAGCCTTTACCCTTGTTCACACATCACTTAAACCTTTGCCAGGTACATTATTTTCTTCATCTAAATGCCTCAATGAAGGTATTCACTGGCAGCCTGTAATTCTTCATTCTTGAAAGTCTTTAGTCATTTGACGAAAGGTAAGAACAACAACAACTTGTTAATAAATGTATCAGTGTATACCTGGATAGTGTGCAATTATAAAAGCTGATGGGTATGGCTAAGAAGAATATATGGTGTTGTTATTAATAATTTCTATCTAATGACATCTTATAGGATTTTCTGTAGTACTTTAGTGTTTTAAGTCAGGTTTGGAAAGTCTACCTATTACTCATATTCTTTAAATTCTTTCTACTTCTCCCTCTTTTTATGAACAGGAAATTTTTCTTTTGCACCAGAAGTGATTCCACATTCAGTGCCTGAGTCTTCCTTCAGGATTGAAAGAAATTCTTCAAGTTTTCACATCACTTGGAGTCCCTCCACAAATGTGGAGTGGGGAACTGTCTTTTACTGCGTGGGATCAAAAGCTCTACAGGTGAGGATATTCATGAAAGCCCTCCTTTTTGTTTACATGTATTACTGCCTCTACTTGCTGATGTATCTATTTTTAAACAGAAATACAGTAAATGCTTCTCCAGCATTTACAAATCATTCAAGCAACCAAACTAAACTGTAAATATAAAGCAAGCTGCCCTGTTTTTCCGTCACTGGGACCAGCATGGGAGGAACAAGGGCTTAGCAGTAGCTCTGGACTAGCTGCTGGGGTGTGAAGTGCCAGGCGAGGAGCTCCCAGTGCTCAAAGAAGTGTGAGAAAGACTTTCACGGTAACTCAGAGACAAAAGTGTCCTCTGAGCTGCCAGTGGGACAGCCTTTGCCTGAATGTGAAATCTAGCCTTCGTCTACACTGAATTTTAGCACATTTGGCAAGCTTTACTTTAAATGCAAAGGGCAGATTGCTAGCAGATTGTTACGCATCGCTACAGTGCCACGGGAGTTGGTCAAACAACGATCACTCACATGAAGAGAAGCTCTGTCTTGATTTCGTTGACCAGCTTGGTGGGGGGAATTTTGAAAAACTGAAGGCCTTTCTGAGAGGGAAAAAAAAGTTTTGTTTCATTTTATTTTATTCTGTTTTATTTTATTCACAGTCTTTGGAGGGTGAACGGTGCCTCCATCCCCATAACCTAACAGTGCCATCCTACCGTGTTGATTGGCTGGAACCATTTGCACTCTTTGATTTTACTGTCACTCCGTACACATACTGGGGCAAGGGACCAACAACATCTGTATCCCTTCGAGCCCCTGAAGGAGGTACTAGAATTTTAAATCTCATTCCTCACCTGTAATGGGTACTGGGACCAGATCTATGTCAGCAAGTGAAACCCTGGAGAGGAAAGAGCGGCTTTCAGGGCTAGTCAACTGTAGGCAGAGCTGCAAGAACATGTTCCTGAGTATCTTTGGCAATTATCTGTTGCACACATGAATGCACACAACTGCAGTAATAGAATTTGGAACAGAAAGCGTATGACAATATATCCACCACGTGCCTATGACTATGAGCAAGAAAGAGAAATGGAGATCCATTACAATGACCATCAAAGGCTGCATGTAATATCTTAACCACTTATTAGATTTTTAATAAATGTTATGCACTTTTTACTTTTTGCTTCAGTGTTTATTTTTGCTCTCACGCAGGTCAGAGTTAAGTCAGCTAAAATGTAGTGCTGAGTTACTGCAGCACTGAGAAAGCTTATAAGCTGCAGCAGCTTTTGAAGTGGGTAGGAGAGGGGACAGAGTATACTCTATGTTGTGAAAATTCTTGTAGCTCCATTGTTACCTACAGGACTTGGTTGAATAGTTATGTTCCAATTTGAGTGCAGGGGTGCATTTATCTCTGTTTATACAGCTCTTTTTGGCTCAGCAAGTTAAAATCAGATACCTGCACACCAATGAAAAACATAAAGGAATTACCATGAAGTCTCAGATATTCTTCTGTAATTTACACCTCACCAATTGCTGTCTGTCTCTGTCAGGATTGTAAAGCTCCAGCTCAAAACTAGGAGAGTTAATTACAAGAGAGTCTGTGTTTTAATAGGAGTACTTTGCTCTGTGGTTTTGGTTTTGGGGTTATGTTTTGTTTTGTCTTTTTTTTTTTTTTTAAATTTTTTTATTACAGTTCCTTCAGCCCCTACAAACCCTAGAATATATGTGTTACGACATAACCTACATGAAGGTGATGAGAAAGTCCTTGTGGAGTTCAGGTGGGACAGACCTGAAAGTGACAACGGAATATTAACACAGTTCAGGGTTTACTATCAATTATTGAGTCAGAGTGCCACTGCTGACACTTTCACAGAGTGGAACACGAGCAACGTTAAACCCACCCTGATGTTCTTTTCTCTCAGGGATGTGCTTCCCAGCCTCACAGTAAGGTTTCAGGTATGAAAAATTACTGAGCTTATCTCGTAGATGTTATCAGTACAGCCTGATGTGTTTGCCTAGGAGATGGTATCGGGCTTCGGGCAAGAACTTGTGGTTTCTGCTTGTGGAACTGCTGACTCACTGACTCACCCTTGGATACCTGGCTTAACCTTTCTACATATTGTATTATTCACTAAATAAGGTGGAAAACAGTGCTGCAATATTATACAGGTTTGGTGAAGCCCAAAAGAAACTTTTCTAGAGGTCTCCCAAAGCCACTGCTAAAAGCTGCAAGTTAAACACAGATTTGACTGAGCTTGTGGAGGGTGACAGGCCATTAAAACAGAGCCACAGATCAAGATAAGTTCCCCTGCTGGAGATATGTAAGGGCTCATATGGCTTCCATAAAAAGAGACTTCCGTATTAAAACTTGTCAAGAGGTCATGTTTTCACTGCGATAAAAGGTTTGGAACACACAGAACGTGTGCTTGAAAGACAAGTTAAAAGCATGAGAGCATGTAATAGACCAGGTACTGATGGGGGAGAACACCATGTTGGTTGCAACGTCAATCGACAGTAGGAATTGCTTCAGCCTGGGGAGGGAGAAAAGACTGTCTGGTGTCCTTTGAGCTCTAATTCATAGATTCAGCATGAATTGTCACACTCTGGGCCACTACTTCATTTATCTTCATAGCCATGGTCCAGCTCTGAATGTAGCCTTTGAACTGACAAGCGCAGCCTTAAGGTCAAACAGAGCACACATATGTTCCTAGCTGAGCACCCAGGGGATATGGTTCTGTTTTTGTCGTTAACTAGGACACCACAGGCTCTTGAATACAATATTTTATGCTGTTACCTAACATATATAACAATCTCCTGTCCCACAGGTGCAAGCCTTCACCTCTGTGGGCCCAGGACCCTTGTCTGATATAGCGGAGAGGAATTCATCAGGTATGGATGACTTAGATGCCATCTCATGGTTTGTGTGTAAGAGCTGGTGAAACTGACAGTGCAGGAATTTGGTAATCTGATAAATAGCCTCTAACACTTCGTGTGACATTTGTTCTACCCTACAGTAGACACTACAGACAAGTTACAGCTTCTGACATGAAATGATTAACACATTCCTTATCATTAGATTAAATTTCAGGATTTCAAGCCTTTCCTCAACACTATGTTGAACTAACTTTTTTAGGCAACCCCAGTGTAGTATGGGACAGCAGGTTTTGATCTACAATCTGCATACTGCTGGAGATCATAGAATATTTCTAATTGGACTGTGAAAGGTAACCAGGAGAGGAACCATAGGCTATTTTAGTTGGGCTGTTAAAGATAATTAAGTGAGCAGATCTGTTCTTGCTAGGCTTAAATTTGTTAGGTAAACATCCGCAATGCCATTAAAGAAATCTTAGATGTTTGCATGTGATGACAAGAAGGCATCTCAATATTTTATTTATGTGCTGTGACATACTACCAAATACAATTTGTGCAGGGCCATTATTTATTTTTATCTTGTACTTGCTTTCCTTATGAATGACTGCTATTTTCTAGATTGTCTTTTGTAAATTCTGCTGTGCCCTTTTCCTTCCAGATCTTTTCCCTGTCCCAACTCTTATAATTGTTTCTGCCAACAAGTTATTTCTTACTGACATAGACAATAATCATACCATATGGGAACTTTCAGCAAAGACAAATGTAAAGGACATCTGTTATACTGCTAATGATGGCAAAGCGTACTATATCGTAGAGGATTCTCTTTTTCTTCTGAACATACAGACTACTTCAAAGTTTCAGGTATTCCTTTGTTCATTCTCTCACTTCAGAGAGTCTAGGAAAATATGTGCCCATTATTGTCATTATTTTGGGGCCAATTATGTTTTTGAAGTCAAACCTGCATATTTGAAACAGAGAAAAGGCAACATGATGAACAAAGCACATTTAATGGGAAAATACAGGGCAGAAAATAGAACTGGACGCAATTGTCTTAAAGACGGTCTGTTCATCTGAGATCTAATATGAAAGAGATTAGCTGGATAATTTTCCTTCCTAGCACTATGATAAAAATATGTATAATGCAATAAAATTTGGACTTCATATTTTTTGTCATCAATAACTATTACAATAGACCAAAGTATGCCACTGGTAAAGTTGTCATATTAAACATGTATGACTTTATTGATATCTGCTTTGTTGATACAGTATTTCAACAGACATTTAATTTAAAATGCTCACTATTCAATACAATAAATTTATTTTTTCTATCAAATGTAATTTAACTTGATTTAATTCTAATTTCAATAATATAGAAGCAACAAGGAAGCAATAATTGAGATTTGTAAAAGAATAGTTTTCATTTACATAAAACTATTGGAATCTTTGTTACATGGCACCTCTTTATGTTCTGACTTCTACTTGACATATAGAAATCATTTTGGAAACAAATCTAATTCCATAATGTCCTAGCATCAGATGGGAAAATTCTGCTCTTAAGCAGTTTTATTCAAGTTTTAATTTTTTTCTTAGCTTTTCAAAGATGCGTATCTTCACAATGCCACAGCCATCACAGCTGACTGGATTGCAAGACATCTCTTTGTTGCCCTGAAAACACCATGGAATGAAACACAAATATTTGTTATTGATCTTGAGCTCAAGATAAAATCTCTAAAAGCCTTGAACATACAGCTGGGTAAAAGTAATTCAACTGTATCATCTCTGTTGTCATATCCTTTCTTAAGGTAAGATATATATTAGTAATAACTTTTGAAAGCATATTTTAAACATGATTTTCGTGGAGTCATCAACTATTAAAGACTCTAAAGGACTTTTTATAGTACATGAGTCTTCTGAATTGTGTAAACCGCAGAAATTTCTGGATGTAGTTCTACTTTCATACTGCCAGTTGAGCTTGGACGTATCTAATTTCAAAAACTTGTCTGTGTTTGAGTAAAGATTGCAAATGATACTTAAATACTGATAGGTTCTTCTAGTTAAGTGATGCAAGTGAAAGTCAGCACCAGACAATTTTTTACAGTAACTATTTTATCCAGAATAGTCAGTTATTGTCAACTTCCATTCAAAAATACCCTTTAAACACCTGGAATCACTCTGCAAGTGTGCTGCTGTAGTTACCTTGTTTTAAATGTTTGGGAGGTTTGTGACTGTACCCACTTACAGGACTGCATTTAGGACAAATTTCTCAGATTAAAGTTTTTCTGCTGTAAGCAATGCATTTTATTTAATAGCCGCTTGTACTGGATGGAAGAGCTTGATTATGGCAGCCGCATGTTTCATTATGATCTTCTGAATAACACTGTGCACCACATTTTGGGATATATATCGGCAGAAGAACAGATGAGGAACTACTGCACCTGTAACGTGGCAGAAGCAGAGCTAGGAAGCCCTATGACTATAGATGTGTCTGACTCCAAGAATCCCCAGTTGCTCTTTATCAGACGAAGAGATGAAATATGGGCCTCAGATGTGGATGGTTGCCACTGCTGGAGAATTGCCAAAATACCAAGTTTTCAAGGTCTGAATGCTCTGTTGTGTTTCCAGGTAGTTTGTGACTCCTGCTGTCTCATACATCAATCAATGTTCATTTCAGCAAAATAGCATTCATGAAGCACTTTCTTTATAAAATAGATTCATCTATAGGCAAGATGGACAAAATGTTTGTGTTCTCTGTTTCCAGTTGTGTACCCTGTTGACACAAACTAGGAGAAAAAGCAGTGTGAGGATATTTGCTGCTGGAAGTCTGTATTTCAGCAAGAAGTAAATCAAACGGAGACACTACAGCCTCAAATGCTACTTGTCAGTAGATTTCACTTATAGTATTAACACATTATTTTGTTAGGGTTTCATATTAGATACACCCATTACAGTTTATCTCAGTGAAAAGTTGCAATACCGCCTTAAGTTATGCCTGCCTTATTGCAGACTTCAACATGCGGGGAGGGTATTTCATGCAGGTGGAGTCTTGTATGACAACTTATCCTTGTTGCACTTCTTGTAACGATGACACGCATTGTCGTTGCTCAGTTTTCAGCTCGATTTTGGAGGAGTGTTGGTAAAGCTGTTCTGTTACCAGAGGAGTTGTCTTAATTGTTCCTGGGAGATGGCAGAGCACTGTGGTTTTCATCTTGGAAAAATTATGAAAGTTTCTACAGACAGCTCTTGCTCTTGGATTTTATTTCTGGTGTTTGTTAATTGAATTGCGGTTCTCATAATTATGGATAACAAAAAGCCTTCAAATTGACAATTTAAAATAACAAAGCGTCTCAGCTTCATGAGACCTATTGCAAAATACCAGGAATCTCTTTTCCAGGGTAGGTCTTTGAAGATATGGTATGACCAAGATACTCACCCATATTGACTCACTGTGAATACAAGCACCCATCTGCTCTTGTAAAACTGTCTGCTCAAGGTTTATTCTGAAGCTTAACTATACACTGTTTTCCTACAGGTAAGAAAATTGGCAGCTTGACTGTAGATAAGAAATTTATATACTGGAGCACTGAAACAAAGGAATACACTGAAATTTGGCTAACAGATAAAGAAAGCACAAGACATTTTCTTCAGAAAAGAACAAATGATGAGCTGAAAATCTTAGCCTACAGCTCAGCAGCGCAATTATATCCAGGTAGAGGGGATTTGGGTTGTTTTGTAAAAGTAAAAAATTTATTTCAGAGCATGTATTTGAGTTGCAGGTCAGGCTATGTGTATTTCTGTAAAGTATGCTTTATAGATTCAGGCACCTTCTAGAGGGAAACAGTTCAGTATGCACATTTTTAAAAGGATGAATATAAGGACTGGCCTTGTGTTGGGTCACAAGGAAGATCATGATGATGAATACTGCCTGTGTTTCAAAGGCCCAGGATGTTAACACCAAACCATGCCAATTTTCAAAGTTGTGTCAAACCTGGAGATTTAGAAAATGTGATGCACATTAAAGCACAGAAAAAGACCAAATGTGTCCACAAACTTTTGTAGAAAGAGTTTGATAACGGTTCTTGTTGTGATACAGATTTCTGGTTTTGTTCACAAGTATGCAAAGCTGAAAAAAAAATCTGCCCTTCCAAAGACAAAGAGATAGGAACTCTGCTTATTAAAATGTTTTATAAGGAAGTAGCTGAGAGGCAATTGCAGCTTACATTATAGTAGACCCAGGCTTCACTTAGAACTCCTAATATTTTAAGTAAACCATTGTAGAAAGATAATGAAAGAAAAAAAAAATTAGTTTTAATAGAAGGTTAGGATTCATGGTAGCTATAGGGTTTATCTTTGTAAATGTGGAAGTTTAGAACAGCTACCAGCATGATGAAAATAATAAAAATAATTCTTTAACTTCAGTTTTGTATAAAAATCTGACAAATACACAAGAGAATATTTTAACAGAATGGACTTCTTTGAAATTAAAGAATTTCACATTGTCTTGGGCAGCCAGTAGATTTACTCTTGGCTGCAGCTGCTCTGACCAGTGCGGAGGCTATTCTTACCAGCACTTTGGGCAAGTTTGTTCCCGTGAGGTCTGTGCAGGCTTGGCATTGGTGCAGGAGCCTGGTTTGGCCCTGGTACAGAATGTACCAATCCCTATCCCCAGGGACAGGGTTTCCTGCAAAGGCCCCAGGCTCAGCTGGTGCAGAAATGGAAGAACCGAATTTCAGTCCAAAGGGGTTATTTCTACCCAGAGATCCCACAGAAATCTTGTTTATGTTAACTGCTGCAAATACAGTTGGAGGAATACACAGCCATGGCATTTGGGGTGAGAGGGCACGGGGGGGGGGGGCAGTGCACAGAATTATTCACGTGTTTAAGACAAAAGTAAATGAACATAGTAAAATAAGAAAAAAATATTTTCTTCTCCGTCTCAGTACTGAAAGCAAATGGTGTATACGTGAAAAAGTGATGTTTGCAAAGACCATCTGGGTTGACTGACATGCTTTTTGTTGCTTTACTGATGTGAGCAAGGAGTACTGCTAGAGTTTCCTTTCATTCTAACCTATTTAATTGTCATCCAGAGATGTGATGTCAGTTGATCATTTAACACATCAGAAGTGCTCAGTGAAAATTACTGTCCTGTCACAGTTTCTGTGAGAGAATGATTTCTCTTCAGGATTAGGAGGAAGGGGACTGAATATGTAGTGAAGGATTTTCTTGTCAGGGTAAACACATTTCTATGGAACTGCCTGACAGAAACTTTAACTCTGAAAACGACTCAATTCTTTATTCCATCTGGGACTTTTCCCGTGGGGGTTTTACTACTCTATGTAACTACAAAATTGACAAAGATTCAACCTTACATTTATTTCTGTTGAACAGACTTTTTGATTCTCTTTCCTTTTATGCATGAACCTGACTTTGGTAGGAGTGGCAGCATTGCTCATTTAGGGAGAAAAGGTCTTGACAATGAGGTCATTTGTTCTGGCCTAAGGGCAAACATTTGTCCTTGTACCATCTTCCCCTTGCATGCACCTTAATCTTTTCCTTCTTGGCAGCAGGTCTACTTAATATATTTTTAATTTGTTTTTAAAAGTAGGTCAAGTGATGAGGGGGTTTTCTTTTGTTACTTTTTGTTTACTGTCAGAGAAGAGTTTTCTATTGTTTTCTCCCTATAGTCTCCTTTACTCCTTCCAAAATTTCTCGCCCCTTTCCCTGTTGTTACTATGAAATTTACACATGAAAAGCTGTTTGGAAGAAAAGAGAGATGACATTTAATTGCTAGAGAAATGTACTCTCTATTCTGCATATCTGATACACAGCAGCAACAATCTGGATTTCCAAGGTGTCTAGGTACTTAAAGAAGGACCTCAATTCTTTAGTAAATCTGTACCTTTATTAAATACATATCTTATCAAAGATAAATGAGACTTTTCTTTGATGACTGCTGTTGTTGTGTCCATTAAATTAAATAAAGTACATTCAGGTGGGATTCTTTTCTGTTTCTGTTTGTGAAAGCAAAGAGAATACCTTGTGGTTATGCTTTCTCATAAGAACGGTGGTAGAATCACATGCAAGTTTGGATTGGTCAAGGAGTAATTTTTTTTTTTTAATTTATTGATATCTTTCCTAGATAAAAGATGTCTGATTCTACTGCCAGACACTGAGAAACCTACTATCCTTGATAGAACGAACACCAGTTTTACATTAAGCTTGCCATCTGTCACACCACAGCAGCTATGCCCCGGCGTATCGCAGCCTACGCTGACATATCTGGTATTTCTCGGACAAGTGACTAACAACCGCAGAAATTCAAGCTGCTGTTTGTCTCCTCTACAGCAAAAAACATTGGTATGGCTATTTTGGAAAAAAAATGCACGATATAAACAGGGAATATGATATTATTTGAGAAACCATTCTGTAACTTTGTATCAGGGAGCTTTTCCACTTCTACATCCCCAACAGTAATTCCCCTTTCTGTTTGGTATCTAAGTGGTAGATTCCTTAGCTTTCCTTTGTGCAAGTACTTCTCTACTTTTTAACATACCTTTATTAAAATCCTGTTGAAACAGGTCTTCAGTTTCTACTTGTAAAAAGAGCAGTTGTGGTTGGTATTAATCTGTTTAAATAACTCTTGAGACTGTCCAGCAACCATATGGCTTGCCTTTGTGGGTTTTGTGGTATTCGTACTTGCCTTTGTAATTTTTTCTTCTGTTACATTTTTTTTGACTTTGCCATTTCCTATCTAAGTACCAGCCACTGAATAATGTGATACTGTAGTCGTGCTAATTACATCTCGACTTGTTTTTTGGTATGTATTTTCTACAGTGACCTATTACCAAAGCTATCATTTTAACATTCTTTTTTAAACACTAAAGTTTATTAGAGTATGAAAGTGTTTCTGTATTATTTTTTAACACTCATTTAATTGACAGATGATTGGTGTGACATACAACTCTCTTTTCTAAGAATACGTGTTTATGATCTGATTTTGAATTACAGGAATTTCAGGGTCCTATAGCCATCATAGATAACCTACAGCCATTTTCAAGTTATGTCATACAAATTGCAGTGAAAAACTACTATTCAGATGAGGAAGTGCTGCCTATGGGAAAAGAGACAATTGGCACAACTCTATATGGAGGTTTGTTTCACATTCTATTCTGATTTTGAACAGAATTCTCACCTCAGTTAAAGGAAGGTATGTGTAAGTTTGGGTTGCAAATCAGAAAGCAGAGAAATTTTCTGTTTAAAATGTAACCTGTGCAGATCTTCACAAGGTTTTGGCAAACAGACTTGATGAATCTGTAAGATTCATAAGATGTGTATGTATTCTTTAATGCTTTTGCTCATTGGCTTCCTGAGGAAACATAAACTATGGTTAAAAGGGGCTAAACAGTTCCAGTTTCTGCTTTGGACCACATTTTTAATGAGTTGTGTTTGAATGCATATGTGGTTACATATGTTTAAATATGTGTGTAATGTATTCCTTCAACATTAAGATTTTTTTTCCCTTGACTTGACGTTATTCTCATAATTACTGTTTCTTAAGGTAAAGAAGATTTGATTTATTGTGACCGAGGCTGAAAAGACAACACTTAATTTTTACTTCTCTTGGCCTGAATGCCAATAGCACATTTTCAGTTGGGACATTTTGATGTGCCCTGCTCTACTTTCACTCTAGAAGAAGAAAGCTGGGAGTAGTGCTTTGAACTTGAATGTTGACTGTGTCATTCAGGGCAACAGGTGGACTGGTTAGGGTTTACCTATAATAAATAAAAAAATAAATACATCAGTAAACTTCTCTAATTATGGCAGAGGGAAGCTAGGAAACTTCAGTGGACTGAATGGCTGAAAGAGGTATGAGTGAAGGCAAGAGGCCCAGATATGATGGCAAGTGTGGTGGGTTAACCCTGGCTGGACACCAGATGTCCACCAAAGCTGTTCTATCACTCCTTGTCCTCAGCTGGACAGGAGAGAGAACATACAACAAAAGGCTTGTGGGTCAGGATATAGACAGGGAGAGATCACTCACCAGTTACTGGCATGGGCAAAAGAAACTCCACTTGGGGAAGTTAGTTTAATTTGTTACCAGTCAAATCATAGTAGGATAATGAGAAATAAAACCTAATCTTAAAACAACTTTCCTCCACCCCTCCCTTCTTTCCAGGCTCGACTTTACTCCCACTACCTCTACCTCCTCCCCCTGAGCAGCACAGGCGGACAGGGAGTGTGGGTTGAGGTCAGTTTATCACACGTGCCTCTTCCGCTCCTTCCTCCCCAGGGGAGGACTCCTCACACTCTTCACCTGCTCCAGCATGGGGTCCCTCTCACGGGAGATGGTCCTCCATGACCTTCTTCAATGTGAGTCTTTTCCACAGGCTGTAGTTCTTGAACTGCTCCAGTGTGGGTCCCTCCCATGGGGTGCAGTCCTTCAGGAACCAACTGCTCCAACACGGGTCCCCACGGGGTCACAAGTCCTGCCAGCAAACCTGCTCCAGAGTGGGCTTCTCTCTCCATGGGTCCACAGGTCCCGCCAGGAGCCTGTTCCAGTGCAGGGTCTCCACAAGGTCACAGCCTCCTTTGGGCATCCACCCACTCTGGTGTAGGGTCCTCCATGGGCTGGAGGTGGGTATCTGCTCTACCATTAACCTCCATGGGCTTCACAGGGGGACAACCTGCCTCACCACGGGCTTCAGGGGAATCTCTGCTTCGGTGCCTGGAGCATCACCTCCCCCTCCTTCTTCACTGGCCTTGGTGTCTGCAGAGTTGTTTCTCTCACCTATTCTTACTGCTCTCTCCAGCTGCAGTTGCACAGGTTTTTTCCCCACTACTTAAATGCGTTATCCCGGAGGCGCTACCACTGGCACTGGTGGGCTCAGCCTTGGCCAGCAGTGGGTCCATCTTGGAGCTGGCTGGCATTGGAAATAGGGGAAGCTTCTAGCAGCTTCTCACAGAAACCGCCCCTGTAGCCCCCCAGCTTCCAAAACCTTGCCGTGTTAACCCAATACAGCAAGGCAGCCAAATGTGATTGTGTTTAAGCAGAGCTACCTCTATACTCTGTGATGAGATGTGACCTGCTGATGCAATGGAAGAGCACAGCGACAAAAGCTTGTAACAGGGTTTAAGGGAGCAGGTAGCTGGCGCCTAGAAAAGGATAATAGGAGCACAACTAACTTTCTGGAAAAGCAGGAAGCATTCACAAAGTGACAAGCCAAGGCTGCGTTTGGGGAAAACCTGCACATAGTGCTGTCTGTAAGAGACAAGATGCAGTGCAAGTGAAAGGTGTATTTTATTTTAAAGGTTTTCTCTTGAATACAAAGTTGCTTTTGAAAAAATGAAAGAGAAATGAAAGAAAAGAGAAAGAAAGCATGATCAAGAGCATCTAAATTCTATATAGCTTGTTTTTCAAGCTGATTCTTTATTATTTGAGAGCTTGGTCTGTACTTCTGTAGCATGTCTCTTTTATAAAGCCAGTTTTCATCTCACATAATAGATATGTGTGCTATATTACCTGATGATGTAGCCCAAGAGACGTGTCTAGGTTAACACCTCCTCCACTTCCTGCTTTGAGTGTGTGATTTTGCAAATTTCCCTTTCTACTGTTATACTCCAAAGGACTGTCCATCTCTTCTGTGGTCTCTTAGAGAACTCAGTCATGTTAAACACACTTATTTAGGGCACATTTTCTGGAACAAGAAATGGGGGACTTCTGTAACAGTTCTGCTGTTGGTGTGTAGCCCATTACGCTACAGGGGAACTATAACTCAACTCAGCACACACTGATTATCCAGCTGACCATAGCAAGCTAAGGCTTGCCTGATCACTGGTGTATTTCTTACTGTGTCTTCTGCTCTTGCATTCATCTTCCACCCTTTAACTTTGTAGTTATCCTCTCCACCCCGTTCTGGAGTTTCCATTGCAGAACATAGATCTGGTGCTGCCTTAGTTCTCTAGCTAAATAGAAACCAGCAATGCTGGTTTTGTTTGTGGCTTCAGACCTCTGCTCATCTTGTCATACTTGATGAACCTTGTGGCCTCATAGGGAGGAAACTCAGCTCTGCTGCACTTTAATGCAGACCCATGTCTCCCAACTGTCCTTGAAGACAACATGGCCCAGAAGCTTTCCTCAAATCCCTCAAGGGCAACTGAGATTCGTAGGCAACCTGAGTTCAAGGTGTCCTTATTCTTTGAGAATACTACTAATCTGAGCTAGATGCCTCCTGAGGTTGGAAATACCTTAATTAGGGCAGGAAGATGCTTCTGCTCACTCCCTGCTTCACTCTGCCTGTTTGCAGGTGCAGGGCAGCTACCATCCCAGTTTCCCTGAAGCTCTTGTCATCTCTCAGAAAGAAAAGGATCGTCTGAATATGCAATGCCTTTGTATGTGTTGTCTTGCCTTGCAGCCAAACTCAATAGAAGTACCTTACTTAGCACTTGTTTTACATGTGTATGTGTGCACGTGCACACTTGTATCTGTCTTCATGAGGAGTTGCTTCTGCGCTGCTCCTCAGATTATTTTCTCATCGTTGGAGTGCTGCTGCTGGACTCACTTGAAAAAGTGGAAAACTACAATGAGAGCACTTGCTTGCTCTTCTGAACTTCTTTCTTACATCTAATCTAAGTCTACCCTCTTTCAGTTTAAAGCTGTGACCCTTTGTCCTATCTCTACATGCCCTTGTGAAAAGTCCCTCTCCAGCTTTCTTGTACGCCCCCTTTAAGCACTGGAAGGCCACTATAAGGTCTCCCTGGACCCTCCTCTTCTCCAGGCTGAACAACCCCTATTCTCTCAGCCTGTCCTCATAGGAGAGGTGCTCTAGCCCCAAGATCATCTTTGTGTCCCTTCTCTGGACCCTCTCAATCAAGTCCATGTCTTTCATACACTGAGATCCCCAGAGCTGAACGCAGTACTGCAGATGGGGTCTTGCGAGAGCGGAGTAGAGGGGCAGAATCGCCTCCCTTGGCCTGTTGGACACACTTCTTTTGATGCAGCCCAGGATGCGATTGGCTTTCTGGGCTGTGAGCACACATTTCAGGCTCATGTTCAGTTTTTCATCCACTAACACCCCCAAGTCCTTCTCTGCAGGGCTGCTCTCGATCTGTTCATTGCCCAGCCTGTACTTGTGCTTGGGATCGCCCCGACCTGGGTGCAGGAACTTGCACTTGGAGTTTTGCATGGGCCCACCTCTCCATCCTGTCAAGGTCCCTCTGGATGGCCTCCCTTCCCTCCAGCGTGTTGCCTGCACCACACAGCTTGGTGTCATCAGCAAACTTGCTGAGGGTGCACTCAATCCCACTGTCCATGTCACCCACAAAGATGTTAAGTAACATCGGTCCAATACCAACTGCTGAGGAACACCACACCACTTGGCACTGGTCTTCACTTGGACATCAAGCCGTTGACCACAACACTGTGTGTGCAGCTGTCCAGCCAGTTCCTTATCCACTGAGTGGCCCATTTGTCAAATGCATGTCTCTGCAATTTAGACACGAGGATGTCGTGTGGGACAGTGTCAAATGAAAGTGGGACAAGAGGTGCAGGCACACTGCCCCTCTCCTTTTAGGATTCAGAAATTCTAGTCTTTGGAAGTCCTTTTCCAACCATGCTGATTTTTTTTTCTCTTAACATTCAAATCTTTTAGCATCGGCAGCATCAAGCAAATAGGCTGTCATCCTGTGTGGATCTTTGAATTTTATATTCCTAAGGAGTCTGTGGCAAAAATTAAGAAAACCTGGCCTATGATCAGTAGATTTCAATTCTTTGCATGGGAATCCACATCTGTACTGTAAAACTTGTACGATACACTGATTGAATAAGATTGAATACTATTGGAATGTGGCAAAAATTCACACGATTGCTTCTTTGTGTGGTAAACTGAGCTCTCCTGCAGCAATGTACACCCTTTCAGTGGTGAAACACAAAAGTAGCATATGAAATGGGAGACTGAGTTGCTCCACTGAAATGGAATTTTTCAGTCTCAAGTTAGAATGAAACATGAAACTCAGAACAGGCTTCTCTAGTTCGGGCAAAACCCCATGAGAATCTAAAGTCCTAAAGCAAAAAAAGAAACCCAAGCAAAAAAACCACACCAGCTCCCAGACCCTGAGCATTTTTGATATGTATTTGTATCAACATTCAGTGCTTTTCAAAATTTGTTGAAAAATTTCCAACCAGCTGTAAACAGAATGTCCTGGCACTTATGTTCTCAATTTCATGAATGTAACTGCTAGTTTAAATTGTAATTAGATGCTGCTAGAGCCTCTTGAAGTGTGCACACTATTTCACACCTCTAAAGTCGTGTCAATTCCCTATGTCTTTCCCTCAATTCTGTAATGAAATGAAGAAAGCTTGGATTAATCTGTACTTTCCAACAAATAGCAAGATAGAGGGAGTGAAGGAAGAAAACTTGTAAAAATTAATGCATTGCTCTCGCCACAGAGTGTCACTCTTACTCCACATATAGTTTACCTAGTGAAATGAGAAGTTTGTCTTCCTTATTAGTCTAGCTTCTGCACATTTCAATAATCTGCAGTCTTGCTACTAGGGCATAAATTATAACATATGTACCCATCAGTCTGATATGTTGAGAACATAGATAGTGCAATGACTTTTAACTTTTTACCTATCTGGACAGTTCAATATGAAAAAAGAGTTTTTAATGCAGAGTTAGAGTGTGCCATATACCATTTCAAAGTTTGTGATCTCAAAGCTTCAAAGGAAAGATTGATTTTTCTAGAACAATTAGTGAGTTACCAGCTGGCATGGACATCAGACCAGCAACCCAGTTTCTTGTTTACATAGCTCAGCCAGACCATGTATTTTTGAGCAAAATTGTAAATAATGACAAACAGTGCTTGGTTTTGGGTTTTCTTCCTTCATACTTTTCTGTTCAAGAAAAGACTTTCCAATTGGAATATGGCGTGTGTACATTTTTTAATGTGTAACCAGGTAAGCATCATATTAAACTCACATCTGAGACCCTGATTAAGAAAACAAGAGAAATCAGGAATTTAGTGATATCACAGAATCACGGAAGCACAGAATCACAGAACGGTAGGAGTTGGAAGGGACCTCTGGAGATCATCTAGTCCAACTCCTCTGCCAAAGCAGGTTCGCCTAGAGCAGGTCACACAGGAATGCGTCCAGGCAGGTTTTGAATATCTTCAGGGAAAGACTCCACCACCTCCCTGGGCAGCCTGTTCCAGTGCTTTGTCACCCTCAGAGTAAAGAAGTTCCTCCTCATGTTCAAGTGGAACTTCCTGTGCTCCAGTTTGTGCCCGTTGCCCCTTGTCCTGTCACTGGGCACCACTGAGAAGAGCCTGGCCCCACCCTCTTGACACCTGTCCTTTAGATATTTGTAAGTGTTGATAAGGTCCCCTCTCAGTCTTCTCTTCTGCAGGCTAAAGAGCCCCAGATCTCTCAGCCTCTCCTCGTAGGAGAGATGTTCCAGACCCTAATCATCTTCGTAGGCCTCTGCTGGACTCTCTGCAGTATATGAGTATAAATATAGAGGTATAGGACAGCAGCTGGGGTTTTTTGTCTGCTTACATGGTAGGATAGCCAAGGAGATACTAAAAATGCCCCTCAAATTATTTTGAACTTGTCTGCAGCTGACTGAGTATACAAGAACATGAGTGTTACATGTGGAGTGTCAGTCCTCTAAATGGATCATATTCATATGCTTATAACCTTTTTTTTTTCCTCAGTAACATTTCTTGACTTCTCTGAAAATAAAACAAACAAACAAAAAACCCTCTAGTGATATCTGTACCTAGAAAGAGATTAATTTTTCTTTTACTGTTTCAGTACCAGAGGCAGTTGATTCCATTAAGATAGTGGTTTTGTCTGACACCACCATCAACATATCTTGGAGTGAACCTCTGAAGCCAAATGGACCTCTAGAATCCATCCGCTATCAAATCTCTGTCAATTTATTACCTCCTGTCCCAGCAACACCCTTGAGAAAAAGTGAATTTCCAAATGGGACTCTTGCCTGGTCTGTCAGTGGACTCCCATCCGGAACAAACATTTTATTCAAGGTATAATTACAAGCAGTTTTACCTGTTTGTTCACTAGCCTGCAAATTTTTAGACTGCTCTTCTGTAAAGCTGTACGTGTGTTTGGAAAATACGATTTCAAAACTTGGCAGATTTCTCAGTCCTTTAGTCTTAAGGAAAATTGAACATCATGGTTTATTCCTACATGGGTTGTTCAGATTAAATTCTTAGAACTGAAATATTTTCTATTTGGGGAGCACATCACAAGTCTCAAGAGTGAATAGAAGTTTCTGCTTCGATCCTGCTGTTATTGCCCTGATACTTGATGCAACATGCTAAGAGAGGGTCAAACGATGGGTATCCTCTGTTCTCAAAGGAAGATGCCTGGAACTGACCTGCTTGTGAAGGACTAGGTGAAATTCAAAAAACAGGGTTATGTGAGTGCAGATGGGCCATAACCAAAAGATAAAGGCTTTTCTCAGGAAAGCAACATATCTGAAACTTTTATAAAGGGGAAGCCTCTCTATATTATAACAAGAGCAGACTCAGCCATTTTGTCAATTGCTGTTTTTCCCTTAATAAATAACATTTCATTTAGCAAAAAAAAAAAAATTCTTAATACAACAACCCAAAAAGTATCTGCTATATCCACAGCGATATAGAAGATGACTGATTCTGTCCTGCGGCAGTCACATTTTAAATAAAAGTACATTATAAAATATGCACGCAAAGTTCATGACAAGAACAATGACTCAGTGTGGACCCTTAACAAATACAAAAGACTAACAATGACTTCAAAATGCAAGTAGGGACTTGGCTATTCGGTGGCCTTTGAAGAAAATTTCTGTAGACAAGAATATTGAAGAGTGGTTGCAAACCTTATGATTTTGGATTTTGTTGAAATATGGTGCTGTCAGTGCAATAGAAGTAGTTTCTTCCACTGTTCAGGCAAGTCACAGACAGAGGAAGACCTGGATTTTTCAGCCACTATATTGAAACAAGAAATTTATAGAAATAGGAAATATAATAATAGGCCAGCCCCAGGACAGCTAGCGGAAGCAGCAGAATGGGATATCCATCCATCAGCTGCTGCAGTTCACGTGGACACCCACGTCAGAATCGTGTGAAAACTTTGGTGGCTTGTGTAATTACACTGGGCTATGGATGATGAGAACAAAGGGGTAGACACATTAGCCCCTCTGCCACCCCTGCTGCCAGATTCAGGCAGAAAAGATGAAAAGAGAAATGAAGAAGCATCTCTGATGAAGGGGACTCTAGGCCATGAACTTCCAGCCTGAAGATGTGTAATGCTGCAGCTGTGAGGCTTAAAATCTTTCAACACCTATATCTATATTGTCTGAATATTGTCTTGTTTGAAAACAGCTAGTCTTCCAAACACTTAATGTTGCTAAAGCCACTGTTCCCTCTGGTCTGGTACTGTACAGTTCATCTGTTTCCTTACTAGGTTCTTGCTTTTCATCCTGATGAGAACTGGTTTTCTGAAAGTGTCCCTGTTATTGCAAAAACTTTTGAGACTCCACCTGCACCAGTCAACATAGTTCCCAGAAATACCAGTTTCCAGCTAGAATGGAGAGCTCCTCTGCATGTCAATGAAACCAGCTTCTGCTTTGAGCTGTGTAAGGTAAAAATTCCCCTTCGTTTTTTTTTCCAGATCAGAGAAAATTTAACCCTGTCTGTCCTGGTGAGCAAGACAGAGTGGCAGGAAGTGTATGAAGAGACTCAGTGGATAATTTGGGCATGGTGATGTCAGTCTTAGTGGCTCAGAAGGGGCAGGATGGAGGCAGTGTTTGCCAGGAACAAGGGGGAGTGCAGCTGTAGCATTTAATACTCCATAGTGTCAAAGGACATCCTGGATGACCCCACCAGAATTCCTGCAGGTTCTTCTGTTTCAGTAGAGTGCCCTCCCTTTTTCCTCACTGTCCTTCCCCAGACTGGCTTGTAGCTAAAACTCCTATGTCTGCTCTGCACACGGAAGAGAAGAAAAGGGGTTTAAGCATTAAATGTCAGCTACAACCTAATATCTGAATTTCGTTTTCCTGTGATAGAAGTTCGGAGAAAATGCCAGAGAGAAAAACAGGTCAGGTAGTGCGGACTGTAGAAGTAAACGCTGCAATGACAGCAGCACGGATGGAAGCTTCAGTTTTTAATGTCCGGTCCACTGGACACAGAAAAAGTCATGTGGTAAACTGGATCACGTAGATTCCTTCATATAGATAATCAGATCCATTATGCCTACACCAAATATTTCTCTGCCCTAAAACAAATGTCATAGCACATTTCCACTAAACTGCCTTTTTTCAGTTGCATCATGGCAAGCTGAACTCATGGGCATGTCACGGTGATCCAGAAATACAAGCTGCACAGAGATAAGCAAGGGGAAGGATCCTTTTGGCTGTGCAAAAGGGTCACTTAATCTGTTGTCCTTTGTGGCTGCCAAGACTTGTAGGTCTCCTAAAAACAAAGAAAAAACCCAGGTTTTTTGTCCTTGGTCTCTGAGAGGACAAAGTCCCGTGATTGAACCAACACGTGCATAATCTCTCCACTACGATATTAAAAGGTTGCAAGGTAGTTAACCTACCCAGGAATAGAACTGTGACACACTTTCAGCAGAGCAAGAAAGTTGACCACTATGATATTTTATTTTTCTAGTGGCAAACAAAAAGTGACTGCTTTTCTCCTGCAAGTACTACATGCACAGCAGATCTTGTTTACACATGCAATCTCACAGGAATGCTTCCTTCAACCAACTACTTTGTAAGAGTAACAGTAGTTTATGTTACAGGAGCAAAAAGCACTTCCTCTTCAACAAGCTTTAAAACTACAGGTAAGCATTTAATGTAAGGTAACAAGAATTTAAGACTATTTTCAGGACATGAATATTCAAATACTATGTTTTGCAAAGTTTAGCAGGCAATTTTCTGATACTAAGAGCCAATAGTTATGTGTGTTTGAAAAATAAAAAAAATACCATACCTGCAAAAGTAATAGGGGAAAGAAATTAGGTTCATTTCCAAGTAGAGCAGAAAAAAAAGAGTAAGGGAAACTGAATTGAAATGCCTGTATGCATGTGAACTCATAACTCCTGATGAAAGGCTGCACGTGAATGAAAATTTTGAAATTTCTCCATTGCAAAGAAAAGGCCAAAGATTCATTCTCCACGGGGATTATTGATAGAGATCCTCCATCCTTTCTGATGTCTAAACACCCATGTGTACATCTAAATTTTTCTCTGTGTCCGTTAGCCCTTTTTCTTGCTATAAACAAGAGAGTTAGAGAGGTAGGTTAGAGAGGTAGGTGCTGGTCTCCCAGATGATTAATGATAGAACAAGAGGGAACGGACTGAAGCTGCACCAGGGTAGGTTTAGGCTTGACATTAGGAAAAAATTTTTCACTGAAAAGGTTGTCAGATGTTGGAATAGGCTGCCCAGGGAGGTGGTTGAGTCATCATCCCTTGATGTGTTTAAAGGTCGTTTAGATGTGGTGCTTGGAGATATGGTTTAGGGGTGTGCTTGGTAGGGTAGGGTTGATGGTTGGACTCGATGATCCAAAAGGTCTTTTCCAACCTGAATGATTCTATGATTCTATGAAACACATTTTAAACATTCTGTTTCTTCCCCCGGTTGGCCTAAGCTGGTGTTCCCAGTAAGCCAGGAACTCCAAAAAGAGCAGAAGACATTAAAGACTCTGTACAGTGGGAAAAGGCTGATGACAATGGAAGCAACCTGACCTACTACATCTTAGAAAGCAGGTAAGCTATGTGTGCCGGCACTCTTCCCGTAGGGAACAGCCCAGAGTGTGCAGGGGCTTTCAGTTTGGCTCTGATGGGAAGAGTGAAATATCTATGATGCAAATGGCCCTTCTCATGGGATCTCTTTCATGTGTAAACTAGGTAGCCATCATTTCCAGATATTCCTGGAAAACTTAGAAGAAAATATACACTAGTGGCATTTCCAGACCAACCCTCAAATACAGGAATGTATTTGGATATGTGTTGGTGAATTAGAAGAAGCTTTGGAGATATTTTCAGATCACAAATTTCAAGCATGCAGTATGTATTTTTGACTAAAATACATGTAGAAATATCTTAGTGTTCAGAGGACTCGTGAAACGACGTTGTAAAGTTGCCAGAAAAAGTCATAAGGTATTCCCAGTGGCATGGGATAACTAAATAATTTTTAAAGTGCTCTGTCATCAAATAGAGATTGCTGAGACTATACACATCACCTCATTAGGCATCTATAGAGTATCAATTCATACTTATTCCTGCACTGGCATTGGAAATGTTGAATGGACAGTTTTGAGTATATTGCTGTGGGCAGTGACTTTGAGGCTTCTTGTTTTCTGACCATGACTCTGGAAGAGTCTGCTTAAGGCAGTCTGTGCAAGGCTTAATTAATGCATTATTTAAAAATGAGGCGAGTCCATCTTCTGAGATATTCTTATGGCATGGTTTGAAATCAGGATTGATGGAGGGAAACAATTTTATTAAACAGCTATTATTTCTTTCTCCTCAGTTAACTCTGTGCTTATGAAAGCTAAGGACTGACAGCACTGTGGAGCTGGGCATACTTTACCTATATAAGTTTTCACCCAGACATATTTTCCTGGTGCTGTAAGCTTCCTCCATACAGTTCTGTGAGCATACAGCAGCACTGACCTGCATGCTATGAGACCACAATAATTTTGTTATGCCAATATCCAGCTTGTACCTGGCTTGCTGTGGATGGTTCCTTGACCTGTGTCAGGGCTGTGCATTAGCCACTGTGTTCTCCAAGCTCCAGCTTCTTATTCATCTCTGGAATCATAATGCATCACTGAAGTTTTGAAGTTTTTTTTAATGAAATAAGCTTTTCTCCTGCAGTTTGAATGTGTGCATGCTGATGTTTTTAACAGTTTCGCTTTGAGCCTCATGGTCCTTTCATACCAGGCAGAAAAATGTTAGGTCAATTGCATAACATTTTAGAAAATATTTCCATAGCGCTTTTTCACACAGCTCTTGCAGCTGTACACAGCAAAGACATGAACATGTAGTTTTCCCATGTCTTTCTGGTTTAGAAGTGTTTGACCACTTTTCTGCATTAAAGTGTGTTAGGAGAATGATTGACATGCTCTTGAAGGTTATTTCGCATGAAATATTATGGTCTTGTGTGACATGAAATGATATTTCAGGTATGGCCTTTCAAGTTTAAATACATGGTCTTCTTTTGGTTGGTGAATAATCAGTTCTGAATTTATTGTGAGCAATCAATCTCAGTCCAATGGGGAAAGGAAGAAATAATACCCAGCAGTCAGCAGATACTATGGGAAACTGGCTAGCTAAAGAATTGTGTCTTCACTGCCAATGACTTGCTTCCTGTTTAGCTTGTGAAACCTGATGCACAAGAGCCACTGAATTACTCTGGGCCCAGGAAAGCAAAAATCTCTAACAGGACGCAACAATAAATGTTTAATTTTTTCTGAAAGCTAAATAAGAAGGTTTTGAAATCTTGGCTCTGAGATGTACACTGAAACAGGTGAAAGAGTGCTGGAGCTTTTTATGTGTAAAACGTTCTAACATTTCATTTCCAATGCCAAGTTAAAGATGTGTGATTCCTTGCATTGCTGAAATGGCATGGTACAATTTTCTGCTCCATAGCCAAAACCCCACTACCAGATTGAGCTTTCATGCAGGCAGACAGATGTTGTGAAGGCCATGGAACTGAAGCAAAGAACAGGGGAGGGGAAGCAGTAAACTGCCCTTACTGCGTTAATGACATACCTGTGTCATTTTGCTGTGCCGGTTGCAGGAAGCAGTCTGACAACAGCAGCAAAGCACAGTCCATGTGGGAGGTGGTTTACAATGGCTCCTGTGCCAGTATTTGCACATGGAAGGCCAAGAACTTAGTAGGAACTTTCCAGTTCAGAGCAGCAGCTGCAAATGTGCTGGGACTTGGTGAATACAGTGACGCAAGCAAGGATATAATTTTGGGTGAAGGTATGTCCCGTACTTTCTCACTCTGTTAATCAAGTTTTTATTTAGAATACTCATACCAATTTATGAAGAGAGACCTGCTATTCTAACAGTGATGTTATTGCACAGGTAAAGTAATGTGTTTAAGAGGTAACAAATGGTGATATTTATATGGTGACCCATGTTGCTAGTGCTCATCCAGGCTCTTTTGCACGGAACAGTGGGCCTGAAATTTGCTTCTGCCCATTTATACTGGTTTGTCTCTGTGGCCCTGCAGTTTGCATTATGGTATGATTCTTGAAATAAACGCAAGCTCCCACAATGTGTAAGGATGTGAGGACTACTTCTTGCTTTCAGCCAGAACGTTAGACCTGCATTCTGTGGCTGTTTTTGAAAATCCCACCTTCAGTGATCAAATGGTTCAGCATTTTGTCTTTCCACATGCACAGTAGGTCATCACCACAGGAATGGCCCAGAGCTGGGGAAGGAGTGTTAGTCTGACCAAATGTAGCTTACAAGCCATACAGCCTGCAAGAGAGCTGTGTGCAGAGGAAGACTTTACACAGCAAGGCAGCTCAAGGGTTGTCATCATTAACCAATTTTCCCCTTCTATTTAACAGATACTATGATCTCCCCAGACACCATCATTGCTATTGCTGCTGTGATTGGAGTTGTTGTGCTGGGCTTGACTGTGGTCATGTTATTTGGTTTTGGTATGTGGCTAAGGTTTTTTGCACTTACTTGTTTCACAAGGCCTCAGTAAAAGGCAGTTCAGATGGTGGGAGATGATTTGTTTCCAGGTTTAAGGAAATGCTGAACAATTCCCAGGGTGAGAGCCAGCAGGA